GCACCACAGCTCGCCGCCGTGAAGCTGCACGGAGGTGAGCGAGCGGCAGTCGGGCAGGCGGACGTGGCGCACCGCCTCCAGCGCCTGCACGTCCCACACGATCATGTGGCCGTCGGCGCTGCACGAGATCACTCCGCTGCGCTCGCGCACACACAGCAAAGACAAAGATGCCCCGTGTAGCCTTAACAGACTGTTGGGGCAAGTGCTGTTAGCGAGTAGCACCTACGAAGGCCGGCACTGTGGCACACGACGGGGGGGTGGCCGGCACCACGCCCGACCGCCTTTGTCTGGCGGCGATGTTTACGCACTGCACCGGGTACTCATTTGAGACCGAGTCGACCTAGGGGATGCCCAGGACTGCTTCAGATAATCGTCACTAGTGTTGGACGTGAGTGGGAATGTAACTCGGGTCGCCGGGATCATAGCGCATGCACGTTGTGTGTGTGTGCACACACACACACAACGTGCACACACACACACAACGTGCATGTACACACAATGTGCATGTACACACACACAATGTGCACACACACACAACGTGCATGCACACACAACGCGCATGCACAAACAACGTACATGCACACACACACAACGTGCATGTACACACACAAAATGTGCACACACACACACAACGTGCACACGCACACACACAACGTGCATGCACACACACAACGTGCATGCTTACACGCTAAACGTGCACACACACACACACAACGTGCACACACACACAACGTGCATGCACACACACAACGTACATGCACACACACACACAACGTGCATGCTCACACACAACGTGCATGCTCACACGCTAAACGTGCACACACACAACGTGCACACACACACAACGTGCATGCACACACACACACAACGTGCATGCTTACACGCTAAACGTGCACACACACAACGTGCATGCACACACACACTACGTGCATGCACACACACGCACACACAACACGGTGTGTCTCCCTACAACAAAAGAATGACCTGGCAAGCGACAGTGATATATTTTTGAATGTTTTTTTGCTAGACGCGACAATTGTTCTGCAATCGAGCAATCGTCGTGACATTTTCCGACCGTGCCACCGGTTCAGCGAGAGCCGAGAGGGAAGCGCGGGGGCAGGAGGAGGGCAGGAGGAGGGCAGGAGGAGGGCAGGCGGAGGGCAGGAGGAGGGCAGGAGGAGGGCAGGAGGAGGGCAGGAGGAGGGCAGGAGGAGGGCAGGAGGAGGGCAGGAGGAGGGCAGGAGGAGGGCAGGAGGAGGGCAGGAGGAGGGCAGGAGGAGGGCAGGAGGAGGGCGTTGTTCGATGGGCGACGGAGATTCACAGCGGGCTTAGACTGAGCACAGAAGCACCGTGCCAATCGTCTAGGCTCCCCGCAGAGACGACATCATCATCATCACCGATGATGATGATGATGATGGGGCTGTCCAGATCTTCACAAGTACCTGTGAGCTCCTCACACAATCCACCCTTGTTAAACCCAGGGAGCATCGTAGGCAGGACAGCCGATCCGGACGTCGCTACTACCGGTGCGCGCACACACACGCACATGCACACGCACACACGCACATGCACACACGCACACACACGCACACACGCGCACACACACGCACACACACGCACACACACGCGCACACACACGCACACACGCACACACACACACACTCGCGCACAGACGCACACACTCCGCCCTCGCCCCTCACGTGTGCTGGCCGTCGCCCGCTGGCCGCCGATCGTCGTCGTCGTCGTCGTGCAGGAGGTCGGTGACCTCGTCGGCGTGTCCCGCCAGGTGCCGGCGGCAGCCCAGCGCGCCGCCCACGTGCCCCTCCAGGATGTAGACGCTCCTGTCGGACGAGGCGGCCCACACCTGGGAGCCCCCCACGCACAGCAGGCGGTTCTACACGGGGGGGGGGGGCACGGGCGTGAGGGCGAGTACGGGCTCACACGGGGGGGATTCCATATGCGTGTGTGATGACGCGTGTGTGTGTGTGTGTGATGACGCGTGTGTGCGTGTGTGTGTGTGATGACGCGTGTGTGTGTGTGTGCGATGACGCGTGTGTGCGTGAGAGCGGTAGTGTAGCGGTTAGCGCGCTGCACTATGAACCCAGCGAACCGGGTTCGATTCCCGCTCACGGCCAATACCGGTGACGATTATCTGAACCGGTCCTGGGCCTCCTCTAGGTCTACTCAGCCTCAAATGAATAAGACAAAGGCGGTCGGGCGTGGTGCTGGCCACCCACCCCCCTCGTGTACCGTTCCTGCTCGCTAACAGCACTTGTCCCTACGGTCTGTGAAGGCTATACGGGGGATCTTTGTCTCTTTCTGTACGCGTGCGTGAGTGCGCGTCACCAGTCTCTTGGTGCCGGCCTGCAGGTGGCCGTGCTCCACGGTCCAGGTGGCCGCGTCGAACACCACGACACGGCCCCCGCTCAGAGCGCACCACAGCCGGGGGGGGGTGCCCTCTCCGCCCCCCCCACCGTGCAGCAGCTCGCCTGGGGAGACGGGGCGGAGGGGCGCGGTGCGGGGCAGAGCGATGGACGGGGTCACGTTACTCACAAAGGTCACCTCGACAGTTCCCTTCGAGCGACGCTCGGGTGGCGGCCCAGCGGCGACACGTCGTGCCTCACGCCGGGGGGGGGGGGGTGTGGGGGTTGCGAGGCGAGGGGGGGGCCGCACCCGGCACGTAGAGCAGGGCGTCGACGGCCAGCGGCTTGCCCTGCGCCGGCGTCACCCGGTGCACCAGCGTGTCCAGCGTGTCCAGCGCGGCCAGCGTGGCCAGCGGGCCGCTCTCCACCGACACTGAGCACGGGGGGTCGGGGGTCGGGGTTAGGGGGGTCAGGGGGTCACGGGAGGGATGGGCGAGGGGAGAAAAGGGCCGCTTGAGACAGTTCACGGTGGCAGAACCCACAATGAGACCCAACACATTTTTATTTTATTGAACTTTGTGTGTTTTGATAAATTACATATATGGGTCTCTGTGGGTCCCTGTGTGAATCGATGGGGCTCTGTGCGAATCTGTGGGTCTCTGTGCCAGTCTATGGATCTCTGTATTAGTCTGTGGGTCTCTGTGTAGGTCTACAAGTCTCTGGATGAACTCGTGTCCATTGCGGCCGGATCTACAACCTAGACTTTACAGCAGCTGCTGCTGCTGCTCCGTTTGCTCCGCAGTCCACGTCCGTACGCAAGAGAGCGAGAGCACGGGGGAGCGTGGGGGAGCGTGGGCATGAGAGGGGTGGGCGAGAGGGCTGGTGGAGAGCCGCGTCACCTCGAGCGTCCTCCCGCGTGCAGTGGGCCAGCATGGCGGCGGCCGTGGCGGCGCGCTTGCGCCGCACGCACTGCGCCACCGCGTCCATGAGCAGCACGTTGGTGAGCGCCCGGTGCACGAACTGCGCATCCTGCGCGCGGCACGGGGGGGCGGGGGGGCGGGCGCGACGGCTCACGTGGTTTTTTATTTATCGAGCGGAGTCGCACGCCGTGGCGCTCCACCTCCCCCACCCCTCGCCCCCCCTCCCACCCCCCGCCCCCCCCCACCCCCCGCACCTTGAGCGCGTGGGCGAGCCGCTTGCCGGCGCGCATCTCGCGCACCGCCAGGCACCAGGGGCCGTGCTGCTCCTTGAGGTTGGCGACGAACGGAGCGCCGGGGTGGCGCCGCGACACCACGCGAAGCGCGTGCAGGCGGGGCCGCAGCACGCCCAGCGTGGACACCTCCTGCACGTCCTGGGGGCGGGACGGAGGCGGCGGTCGACGTTCGCCACGGGAAAAGCGGTGGGCGTCTTACGGCGATGCGGCGGGAACGACGTTGGCCGTGACAATTTGCTTGGCCGTGCGTCGGTCTTGACGACGCAAATTTGGCCAAGTCACTCCGTGGCTGCTTAATTCTACGAAGAAATCCGAATCGACGGAGAACCGAGATTGCTTTTGCTGGAATCAAGGCCGTAGCCATGGAGTCAACATTGGGGGGGACCAAATCTTCCAGAGGGTCTAGGGCCCCCCCCCCAGAAAAAATCTAAATTTGAAAACAAATTTCCTGCCTAAAATATTAAAAAATTCACTAACACATAGGATGGACTTTTATTATTATTTTTTACAATAATGTCAAACAGTGTATTGTTTTACATTGCTCTGTTTTTAATGTTTTACCTTTTCTTGATTCATTGTATGTAATGGCAGAGATTAGGGATTAATAAAGTACAACCATAACCACAATTATATAAACAGAAATCTATGCATTGTTATATGATGACAAGTCCAGATATTGTGGCCAAGGTTTAGCACATTTTTGTTTTTATTTACATAGCATAGAATTTTTTTACATTGCTTATAGCAATATATTGGGACATTTTGATGTGTCCCCCCCAATATATATTAAAATTACGACCTTGGCTGGAACTCAAACTCGCCGGGTTCGCGGCGCGGCGTGCTCACCGCTGCGCCACCACTCCGCAAATCGTCGTGCCGCTGTCGATTTATCGAACGGTGTCGAGTTTCGCCACAGTCGTCATCATCATCGTCATCATCATCATCATCGTCGCTCATGAAGACGCATTTCTTCAGAGCTGCTTCCTGTGTTTAGTGTTGTTGTCCTTCCCCCCCCCCCCGCACCTGCGATTAATGCGGTCGGCTACACACGGTGCGAAAGAAGCTCAACGTACGTGTGTCACGGTCGTCGCGACGGAACGACGCGGACGGTCTCTCACCTCGATGTCGCTGAATTTGGCGATGTCGACGAAGGGCACCGCCGCTCCGTCCCGCAGCAGGAAGAGGCGCGACTGCGTCATGGCCACGCGGCCCTGCCCCAGGCTGGTCAGCACCACCGGCGACACCTGGCACGCACAGACGCAGATCCCCCGTGTAGCCTTAACAGACTGGTGGGGCAAGTGCTGTTAGCGAGCACCTATGAAGGCCGGTACGACACACGAAGCGGGTGGCCGCCACCACGCCCGGCCGCCTTTGTCTCCCCAGTGGCGATGTTTACGCCGAGGCCGAGTCGACCTAGGGGAGGCTCAGGACCGATTCAAATAATCGTCACCGGTGTTGGCCGTGCGCGGGAATCGAACTCGGGGCCGCCCGGGGTCCATAACACGGTGCGCCACTACTCCAAATGCCCCCTACCTGGCATGAACACACCTTCACCACCGTCACCGTTGTGAGCCATGATCCATCCACTGCTGGGTGAAGGCCTCATCACCAAGCCGTCACCATCTCCTGGCAAGAATCTACCCAGCTCGTCCCCATGGTGGACGTCCTCTCCCCTTTTGACTGCTACTCCGTCATTAGTCTCAACCACCGGCCGTGGTCCCTTCCAGCCGTGAAAGTCTCCTGCCCGTCTCCTGCCCGAGCCCCTCTCTCTTCCTCGAGTCCACGCAATCCTCCGACACCCACGCACCCTCCGATCCATCCATTCCTCACCCGCTCAGAAGCGACCTGGCCACAAATGATAGCTCAACGAAGTGGCTTATCATCATCACGTGGACATTTAGAGCAGCAGCCAAATACTCTGAACGCGCGATGTCGATTCTAAATGCGGAGGGAAAAACCGGAGGACCCGGAGAAAAATCCACGCGACCACGGGGGAGAGAGACGCGCAAACTCCAAATATACAGCAGCAGGCGAGATAGGTAACATCTCCTAGCCACCGTGGCATGCCCAAGCACGCGTCCAGCACCCCGGTTCCCAAAGGAGCCACAGGCGGCCGTGAGCGTTGAGCGCGCGTGGCGACGGCGGTGCCGTGCGTGCGTGGCACCTTGTAGACGATCTCGCTGCTCTCCAGGCGGGCGAGCGCCTCCACGGGCAGGGAGAGCTCCCGCGCCGCCCGCTCGGTGGCGCGCCACGCCTCGTACAGCCGCCGCACCGCGTCGGCGGGCAGCACCTCGCCACGGCCTGGAGGTGGGGGTCGCACGCTCGTCACCTTACGCCATCGCCGCCAAGCACGCGATCGCCGCTAAGCACGCCATCGCCGCCAAGCACGCTCCCCGCCAACGCGCCCGCGAGCGGGACGGGCCCGGTTCGACCGCGCGCAACGAAGCCGCGGCCCGAGGGGACGGCGGTAACGAGGGCGGCCCCCGTCGGCCACCGCCGTCGCGCCTCCCGACCCTTCCCCCCCTCCTCCTCCTCCGCCCTCCCGCCCGCCCGGCCGGCCCCGTCGCCCGCGCGCCTCACCGTTGGTGAGGGCGCCAAAGAGGCGCCCGACGGTGGCCGGGTCGCACGTGATGCCCGCCTCCCGCACGCAGGTGCCCAGCTCGTCGCAGGAGAGCGGCGCCGAGGGCAGCGCGAAGCTGCGCACGCGGCCGTCCGGCGACCCCGGGCACGGCCCCGCCGCGTGGGGGGACAGCAGCGCCGGCTCGTCCACCTCCTCCTGCAGCAGCCACCTCGGGGGGCGTGCGGGGGTGGGGCAGGTGGGCACAGGTTAGACCGGGAGGGGGGGGGGGCTGGCACGGGCTGGAGACATCCCCTTGAGAATGCACCAACGTAACAGATAGATTTTATTGTTCGTTTGGGTCGGATCGCCGTGCGAGTCGAATGTTACGTGGTACACCCTCCTCCGCCCGACGCGGCCGATCAATAAGGTTGCCGCTGAAGCCAGTTCATCACGGAGGCCTCCGCAGCAGCACCACCGGGAGTGTCGCTGGAGAGAGTTCCAGACGCGCGTAGAGGAGGGTGCACGACACAACATTGCACTCACGCGATCCGAAAACCGAAATTAAATGATGACTCACAGTCCCATGGGGTGGGGGAGGGGGGGTTCTGTGTGTGTGTGAGAGAGAGGCAATGGAACCACCCCATTGTTACTAAACTCATCACACTCGCTGTCACTGCAACCTCATCATTCACACAACCCGATACTTTCTCAAAGAATGGCACCTCCCACATTCTGTTTTTTTCTCTTCCTCGAAAGTACAATGTTCTACAATGCTATGACATTGTCCGTTCATGGGGTGTCTACCAGTCACCCGTTTCTAAATGTGGAGGGAAAAACCGGAGGACCCGTAGAAAAATCCACGCACCCACGGGGAGAGAGAGAGAAACGCAGACTCCAAGTATGCAGCAGGCGTCAGGGTCGGTATCGAACCCACGGCCTCCTGTACACCAGGCGAGGTAGTTAACATCTCCTAGCCACCGTGGTGCCCCTCACCTGAGCTCGGGTCGCTCCTCCACCTGAGCTCGCGCCCACGTGGGCAGCAGCAGCAGGATCCTCCGCGCCTCGTCGGGCGGCACCACCGACTTATCCATCTTGGAGATGCTGGAGGGACGACATGCACGCGACGGTGTGTCATTGCGCGCGCGCGTGTTCGCGTGTGCGTGTGTAAGTCACGTGGCCACCCTCACTCTGAACCCCTCTCCTATCCCCGCCCACTGTGAGAACAGACGCCGCTCCTTCTCCGTGCAGCAGCGGCAGCAGCGTCGAGGCCCTGACGCAGCCTCTCCCTCCTTGTCTCTCCTGGACCCCTCTGAGCTCCCGATATGGCTCAGAAGAGTCCCTGGCGTGCCGCGTCATTTTTTGTAATTATAGAAGGGGAGAGAACCTGCAACTGTTCGCCAGCTATGAGAGACGAACTCTCCTCCGTGAGACTCAATGGCCGGTCCCAGCCCCCAAACCCCCACCCCCTCCCCTCCCGCCCTAACCCCCCCCCCCTACCCCCTCGCCATTGGTCACAGCGCGGTACGGCAGCAGACAGTCGTCAGCCGCCACCCCCGGCCCTCTCAAACTCCATCGGTCGTGCACGTCCGGCCCGAGGTGTGTGCTGTGGGGAGCGAATGAGGCGCAGGTTGAGGAGCACCACTCTAGGGGACCGCCGTGGGCTGGGCCGGTGGCTAGGAGATGTTAACTACCTCGCCTGGTATGCAGGAGGTCGCGGGTTCGATCCCAACCCTGACGCCTGCTGCATATTTGGAGTCTGCGTGTGTCTCTCTCTCCCTGTGATCGCGTGGATTTTTCTCCGAGTCCTCCGGTTTTTCCTCTCCAAACGCGTCCAGAGTATTTGGCCACTGCTATAAATTTCCACGTGGTGATGATGATGATGGTAACAAGCCACTTCGTTGGGCTATCATTTGTGATAGCCTGGTCGCTTATGAAAAAGAGCTACGTAGCAGCCCAGTGGTAAAACGCAAAAAATAAAGTTTTCAATGTAACCTGTGCAGGTCGTGGAGCGCCAGCTCCGGCTGGCGGCTCGCGAGCCGGGCGCCGGCGCGCACCGCGTGGAGCGCCGCCCGTAGCCCCCAGCGGCTCGGCGCCACCTCCCCCAGCGCCGCCCCCAGCGCCGCCCCCAGCCCCTCGCAGTAGCGCTGCCCCTCGCCGGGCAGCAGCGGGTCCGGGGGCAGGGGGGGCAGCGTGAAGACCGTGCCGTCGTCCCACGGGTCGGGGCCCCAGGGCTCCATCGGCCCCCTGCCCCCTGCCCCTTGCCCTCTGACAAAGGGTCCGCCTGCGAACGCGAGGCCGCTGGGGTCGTGCTCCTCCCCGGCCTGCGTCGTTGTGACTCCGTCGCCGGGGAGAGCGCCGAGGTGAGCGCCGAGGTGAGCGCTGGTCGGCCGCGGCTGCTGACGCGCTCGGTCCTCTGTCGTGCGTCGACGCAGGCTGCGCAGCATCTCCTGCTTCATCCTGTACGTGGGCGGCAAGGGAGCGAGGGGTCACGCGGGTGAGGGGTCACGCGGGTGAGGGGTCACGCGGGTGAGGGGTCACGCGGGTGAGGGGTCACGCGGTACGGTTGAGCTACTCACTTCTGCGACCAGGAGCTAGATTTGTTCTCCAGGCGAGAGAAGGAGTCGGCCTTCTGCGCCAGGCGGTCTTTGAGGAACAAATCGAACACGTCCGTGTCCAGCACCTGCACACAGCGACGGGGTGAGGAGAAATATCGGATGGATACATCACAATCAGGACCAACACGGGGAAGGAGGGGAGGGGGGGAAATTACACACGCGCGTTTCTTTTTACATTAATTCTCTTCCGAGGTGTAATGGAGGCGTCACCTTGCGGTAGAAGGGCAGGTCCGCAGGTCTCCGTGACTCGAGGAATTCCTCGCGGCTGAACACTCGCTGTTCCACGTCCAGGTGCGCCAACACCTCCCTGCGTCGGACGCCAGCACAGAGCCCCTGGGTGTACCGCGACACAGCCTGGCACTCCGTGAGCCGCCGCGCTGTGTTGTGGTACTGCGTCGTCGTGATAACGTGGCCAAAGAGTCGTCGTCGTGGCCGATCGAGCCGCCCTCCACTCACACCCGGTAGTATAGTGCTAGCGCTTTACTGGAACACGTGGCGGTGTACCGTATAGTGGTAGCACTGCACTAGAACTCGTGGCGGTGTACCGTGTGGTGGCAGCGCTCTACTGGAACTCGTGGCGGTGTACCGTGTTGTGGCAGCACTGCACTAGAACACGTGGCGGTGTACCGTGTGGTGGCAGCGCCCTACTGGAACTCGTGGCGGTGTACCGTGTGGTGGCAGCACTGCACTAGAACACGTGGCGGTGTACCGTGTGGTGGCAGCGCCCTACCGGAATGCGCGGTGGTGTACCGTGTGGTGGCAGCGCTCTACTGGAACACGTGGCGGTGTACCGTGTGATGGCAGCGCTCTACTGGAACACGTGGCGGTGTACCGTATAGTGGTAGCGCCCTACCGGAATGCGTGGTGGATGAAGCCCAGGAAGAGCTCCTGGATGCACGTGTTCAGCCGCTGGCGCCGGGCGCGCGCCGCTCGCCGCAGCTCATGCAGGGAGCACGGGGTCGCGACCCCCAGCGCGTGAGCCTCCTCGCGGACGCAGAAGTGGCGGCACCTGCGTTGCGCACGGGGTACACGCCGGTGACGAACACCCTCTGGTGAGCTCGCTCCCGGAGAACGCAATTATTATAATAACGACAAGATTGTATACAGCGACGTCATTTATACAGCTGCGTCCCACAGCGCTACTGACGTAGGCGTCCCAAGGCTAAGATGCCTTCAGCCACTTAATGATGAGCTTTTTATATGCAAGTGGGAGGAAACTGGAGCACCCGGAGAAAATCCATGCGTGCGAGGGGGCAACGCTCTATCCCATTCAAAACCCACGGATGACGTTAATCCACTTTTGTGGTGGACCGCCTTTTCCCGGCGGGCCACGGTACGGCAGCTGTTCGATGGCCCACGGGTAGGTAGGGAGAGTCTCACGACGACATCCGTGCGGTGAGCCACCAACCCCGCCTGCTACTCCCACGGCGCTGATTCACAGGCAGCTACGTGCAGCGGCATAGCCACCACCGCTGCCGCCCAACATCAATGAAATAATCATTCTACGTATTTTCTGCGATCTTAAAGGGGGAGAAAGCAGGAGGGGGGGGGCCCATGTGGGCACCACAGTGGCGAGATGTTAACCACCTCGCCTGGTATAGAGGAATACAGGAGGTCGTGGGTTCCATCCCAACCCTGACGCCTGCTGTATTGAGTTTGCGTGTCTCTCTCCCCGTGGTGCGTGGTTTTATCTCCGGGTCCTCCGGTTTTTCCCTCCACATTTAGAATCAACATCGCCACGCGTTTAGAGAATTTGGCTGCTGAGCTATCGTTTGTGGCACCCAGGATGCATCTGAAAAAGAGCGACACAGCTCAGTGGGCCTTACCTGGTAAAATAAAAATAGTTTAGCCCCATATCCCCCCTATGTGGGTCCACCCCTGTGGGTGAACACACTCTGATGAACACCCCGATGAACACACCCGGTCAGGGGTCGTCACCTGCTTAAAAACGCCTCCGCCGCCTCCTCGGGAGGAGCTATGAGGGGGGTGAGGGACTGCCCGTTGGGTGTCCCGGGGGGCCCCGCGGATCCTGGGGGGTACCCGGGCACACTGGCCGGTGTGGGGATGAGCTGCCCGCTGTCCAGGTCCACGATCACAAGGTCCTCCACCTGTTCGCACAACGACAACAACAGAGTCACCAAATCTACTTGTGGCTTTGCCCCACCTCCCGTCTCTCATCTCCTTCCTTGTCCCCTCCTCTGCGTCCTGAGTCTCCTCTCTTTCCCCTCTTTCCCCTTCTCCCTGTGCTCAATCACATTTTCGTTCCTTCCGTGCCTCTCTTAAATTTCCCCCTTGCAGGCTTAGCAGACTGTTGAGACGAGCGCCGTTAGCGAGTAGCGCCTGCGAAGGTCGACACGGCACACCAGGGGGTGGGTGGCCAGCACCATGCTCAGCCGCCTTCGTCTCCCTCGACGTTTACACACCGCACCAGTTACCGATGTTGGCCGCGAGCAGGAATCGAACTCGGCTCGCCAGGGTTCGCAGCGCAGTGCGCTAACCGCCGCACCACCGCTCCCCGCACTCGCTCGCACGCAAACGCGCGCCCTCCCGTTGTAAGCACGCCGAACTCCTTTCGCGCCGTACATAAGCGACCGTCTGAATGGGAGGCGCTCACCTGGCTGACGGCGTGCTTGTGCCTGCCGTGCGTGCCCATGAGGTAGACGGTGGGCGCCTCCAGGAAGCCCAGCATGGAGCTGGCGAGCACGGGCACGAACGTGTGGCGCCAGCACAGGGGTGCGAGGAACGCCAGCAGGCAGTGCCCGGCCGGCGCCAGCAGGGCCCACTCGGCCGACAGCAGCACCAGCTTCTGCTCCAGCAGCAGGCACGTGAGCACCTGGGACGAGGGACACCGTGACGTATGTTAGTGTGTGTCTGTACGCGCGTGTGTCTGTGCGTGTGTGTGTGTGTGTACACCCATGACTCCATTCCAACCTAAAGTGGCCTGGTCTCAGTTATCTGATGAAAGTTGCAAGTGAGAATTTCATCATCGCTTGCAGCTGGGATTGGCATCGTCCCCGACTCCTCCTGATGTCGAGGGTAAATGGGCGAGGTTTAGGACTGTGACTCATGCAGCTGCAATGGCTGCTTTGGGTACGCGGTCCAGACCTCCCCAGAGACCCTGGCTGACAGAGGGGGTGTTCAGGATGGTTGAAAAAAAGCGACAGGCCCACTGTCATCGGCTACAGAATCCCACGTCAGAGAATGAGGAGGCTTGCGCAGCCTTCGCTCGGAGGTTCGGAGAGCCGTGAGGCGCTGCAAGGATGGGTGGTGGTCGCGGGTTGCTGAGGAGATGGAGTCTGCCTCAGTGGCTCGTGATCACAAATCTCTATTTAACTCCATCAAAAAAGTAACCTGCAGTGCCACACCTATCACCATCATTAGGGGAAAAAACGGTGATCCATTCTCCGACCCCCAAGAACAGGTTTGCAGATTTGCTGAGCATTTCTGTGAGGTCCTGGGGGAGGGAAAATCCCTCAGCCAGGAAAACATCGTGGCACAAAGTGAGGATGACTCTGCTGAGGCTGCGGTGCCTCAAATAGAAGTCACCCCCTGTGAGTAGCTGGCTGAGGTGCCATCTGTTGAGGAAGTACTGAAGGCGATCCGGAGTCTGAGACCAGGAAAGGCAGCGGGCAGAAATGATCTTCCAAGCGAAATGCTGAGGGAGGGTGCCGTTTGTGCACAGACTGCCCTATATGACATCATAACAACAGTCTGGACCACTGGACGGGTTCCGCAGGATTGGAAGGATGCCCTGGTGGTCCCCCTTTTTAAGAAGCGGGACCATCAGGTCCCCCTTCTTAAAACTACAGGGGCATCTCACTCCTCAGTGTGCCGGGAAAGGTCCTGGCAAGGATTATTCAACATCGCCTTGCCAGGCACGCGGAGGAGAGGCTTGCGGAGCCCCAATGCGGTTTCAGAAAAGGGCGGTCCTGCACAGATGCCATATTGTCTGTCCGTCTGCTACAACAGAGGTGTAGGGAATTCCAACAAGACCTACATCTCTGCTTTATTGACCTGGTCAAGGCCTATGATACCATCAGTAGGCCTGGGCTCTGGGTTGTTCTTCGTGCTTTTGGAGTACCTGACCCTCTGCTCACGATCATTAAGGACCTTCATGATGGTGAGTGGGTCATGTAGCCCGCATGCCCAGCCACCGCATGCCGAAACAGCTTTTGTTCGGCCGGATTGAGGGGGCTAAACGGGCGCGGCACGGGCTAGAGAAGAGATGGAGTGATGTGGTACAGGAGGACGTGGAGCTGAGTGGACTTGCCGATGACTGGTACCAGCGGTGTAAAGATTGACCTCTGTGGAGGAGGCTCGTGAAGGACGCTACTGGGCACTTGGAGGTAGTCGCCCTCAAACAACAACGGAGGGCGGAGGAGCGACGCTCACAACAACGAGCAGAGCGCCGGGTGGCTGAAGCACAGCGGGTTGGCACAGTAGGGGGCACAGGTGGTACATCAGCCAGTCATCTCAGTCAGTCGACCCGTGGCACCTGGGTCTGCCCCGTGACCTCCTGCCAGCAGGCGTTCGACACTTCACGTGGCCTCAGGGTGCACATAGCCTGGCACAAGCATCGTGGTGACGTCACCGCCACTTAGTGGTGAATGGCGGTTGTTGTTGTGTGTGTAGCAGTTAGCGATAGTGTAGCGGTTAGCGCGCTGCGCTATGAACCTGGCGACCCGGGTTCGATTCCCGCTCACGGCCAACACCAGTGACGATTATCTGAACCGGTCCCGGGCCTCCCCTAGGTCGACTCAGCCTCAAATGAGTACCTGGTGCAGTGTGTAAACATTGCCACTATGGAGACAAAGGCGGTCGGGCGTGGTGCTGGCCACCCACCCCCTCGTGTACCGTTCCGGCCTTCATAGGTGCTCGCTAACAGCACTTGCCCCTACAGTCTGTTAAGGCTATATGGGGGATCTTTGTCTTTGTAGCAGTTTGCACGCTGCGCTATGAACCTGGCGAGCCGAGTTCGATTCCCGCTCACGGCCATCACCGGTGACGATTATCTGAACCGGTCCTGGGCCTCCCCTAGGTCGACTCAGCTTCAAATGAGTACCTAGCGCGGTGTGTAAACATCGCCACTGGGCAGACAAAGGCGGCCGGGCATGGTGCTGGCCACCCACCACATCGTGTGCCGTGACGGCCTTCATAGGTGCCCACTAACAGCACTTGCCCCAACAATATGTTAAGGATATACGGGGTATCTTTGTCTTTGTGTGTGCACCTGACCTGGCACCGGCTCCGTGCTGACGTCACCATCACTTAATGGCTAATGGCGGGTATCGGTATTGGTGAGAACAGAAAATGTCTTGGGGCCTGAGTGTGAACAGAGGCCAGGGGCTGGACAGCACGAAGGGACTGGGTGGGGGGGGGGGGGTGCTGAGCAGGGGGGGGGGGGCACCTGCAGGAGGTGGCGTGAGCGCAGGCAGGTGAAGGGCAGCGTCAGGTCGAGGTCGTGGACCTCCGAGTCGGAGGGCGGCAGCAGCACGCGCAGAGGCCCCATCTCCACGCACTGCGGGGAGAGAGAGGGCGGAAGAGGGCACTCAGGGCACCAGCAACAACAACAACCGCAACGGTGATCGCAACAACAACATCTACAACGATGATCACAACAACAACATCCACAACGATGATCACAACAACAACATCCACAACGATGATCACAACAACAGCTGCAGCAAAATCAACAACAATCGCAATGACAACACCAATAACAACAGCAACACTCACTAAGACCACAATGACAACACCAATAACAACAGCAACCATCACTAAGACCACAATGACAACACCAATAACAACAGCAACACTCACTAAGACCACAATGACAACACCATTAACAACAACACTCACTAAGACCACAATGACAACACCAATAACAACAGCAATACTCACTAACACCACAATGACAACACCAATAACAACAGCAACACTCACTAAGACCACAATGACAACACCAATAACAACAGCGACACTCACTAAGACCACAATGACAACACCAATAACAACAGCAACACTCACTAAGACCACAATGACAACACCAATAACAACAGCAACACTCACTAAGACCACAACGACAACACCAATAACAACAGCAACCATCACTAAGACCACAATGGCAACACCAATAACAACAACAACACTCACTAAGACCACAACGACAACACCAATAACAACAGCAACCATCACTAAGACCACAATGACAACACCAATAACAACAGCAACACTCACTAAGACCACAACAACAACAACACTAATAACAACAGCAACACTCACTAAGACCACAACGACAACACCAATAACAACAGCAACCATCACTAAGACCACAATGGCAACACCAATAACAACAACAACACTCACTAATACCACAACGAGAACACCAATAACAACAGCAGCACTCACTAAGACCACAATGACAACACCAATAACAACAGCAACACTCACTAAGACCACAATGACAACACCATTAACAACAACAACACTCACTAAGACCACAATGACAACACCATTAACAACAACAACACTCACTAAGACCACAGTGACAACACCAATAACAACAACAACAACCATCACTAAGACCACAACGACAACACCAATAACAACAACAACACACACTAAGACCACAATGACAACACCAATAACAACAGCAGCACTCACTAAGACCACAATGACAACACCAATAACAACAGCAACACTCACTAAGACCACAATGACAACACCAATAACAACAGCAGCACTCACTAAGACCACAATGACAACACCAATAACAACAACAACACTCACTAAGACCACAACGACAACACCAATAACAACAGCAGCACTCACTAAGACCACAATGACAACACCAATAACAACAACAACAACAACACTCACTAAGACCACAACGACAACACCAATAACAACAGCAACCATCACTAAGACCACAATGACAACACCAATAACAACAACAACAACAACACTCACTAAGACCACAATGACAACACCAATAACAACAGCAGCACTCACTAAGACCACAATGACAACACCAATAACAACAACACTCACTAAGACCACAACAACAACACCAACAACAACACTCACTAAGACCACAATGACAACACCAATAACAACAACAACACTCACTAAGACCACAATGACAACACCATTAACAACAACAACACTCACTAAGACCACAATGACAACACCAATAACAACAGCAGCACTCACTAAGACCACTATGACAACACCAATAACAACAACAACAACACTCACTAAAACCACAATGACAACACCAATAACAACAGCAGCACTCACTAAGACCACAATGACAACACCAATAACAACAGCAACACTCACTAAGAACACAACGACAACACCAATAACAACAGCAGCATTCACTAAGACCACAATGACAACACCATTAACAACAACATTCACTAAGACCACAATGACAACACCAATAACAACAATATTCACTAAGACCACAATGACAACACCAATAACAACAGCACCACTCACTAAGACCACCACAACAACACCAATAACAACAGCAACCATCACTAAGACCACAACGACAACACCAATAACAACAGCAACCATCACTAAGACCACAACGACAACACCAATAACAACAACAACACTCACTAAGACCACAATGACAACACCAATAACAACAGCAACCATCACTAAGACCACAACGACAACACCAATAACAACAGCAACACTCACTAAGACCACAATAACAACACCAATAACAACAGCAGCACTCACTAAGACCACAATGACAACACCAATAACAACAGCAGCACTCACTAAGACCACAATGACAACACCAATAACAACAGCAACACTCACTAATACCACAACGACAACACCAATAACAACAGCAACCATCACTAAGACCACAATGGCAACACCAATAACAACAACAACACTCACTAATACCACAACGAGAACACCAATAACAACAGCAGCACTCACTAAGACCACAATGACAACACCAATAACAACAGCAACACTCACTAAGACCACAATGACAACACCATTAACAACAACAACACTCACTAAGACCACAATGACAACACCATTAACAACAACAACACTCACTAAGACCACAGTGACAACACCAATAACAACAACAACAACCATCACTAAGACCACAACGACAACACCAATAACAACAACAACACACACTAAGACCACAATGACAACACCAATAACAACAGCAGCACTCACTAAGACCACAATGACAACACCAATAACAACAGCAACACTCACTAAGACCACAATGACAACACCAATAACAACAGCAGCACTCACTAAGACCACAATGACAACACCAATAACAACAACAACACTCACTAAGACCACAACGACAACACCAATAACAACAGCAGCACTCACTAAGACCACAATGACAACACCAATAACAACAACAACACTCACTAAGACCACAATGACAACACCAATAACAACAGCAGCACTCACTAAGACCACAATGACAACACCAATAACAACAACACTCACTAAGACCACAACAACAACACCAACAACAACACTCACTAAGACCACAATGACAACACCAATAACAACAACAACACTCATTAAGACCACAATGACAACACCATTAACAACAACAACACTCACTAAGACCACAATGACAACACCAATAACAACAGCAGCACTCACTAAGACCACTATGACAACACCAATAACAACAACAACAACAACACTCACTAAGACCACAATGACAACACCAATAACAACAGCAGCACTCACTAAGACCACAATGACAACACCAATAACAACAGCAACACTCACTAAGAACACAACGACAACACCAATAACAACAGCAGCATTCACTAAGACCACAATGACAACACCATTAACAACAACATTCACTAAGACCACAATGACAACACCAATAACAACAACATTCACTAAGACCACAATGACAACACCAATAACAACAGCACCACTCACTAAGACCACCACGACAACACCAATAACAACAGCAACCATCACTAAGACCACAACGACAACACCAATAACAACAGCAACCATCACTAAGACCACAACGACAACACCAATAACAACAACAACACTCACTAAGACCACAATGACAACACCAATAACAACAGCAACCATCACTAAGACCACAACGACAACACCAATAACAACAGCAACACTCACTAAGACCACAATGACAACACCAATAACAACAGCAGCACTCACTAAGACCACAATGACAACACCAATAACAACACCAACAACACTCACTAAGACCACAACGACAACACCAATAACAACAGCAGCACTCACTAAGACCACAATGACAACACCAATAACAACAGCAACACTCACTAAGACCACAACAACAATAACAACAGCAACCATCACTAAGACCACAACGACAACACCAATAACAACAGCAGCACTCACTAAGACCACAATTACAACACCAATAACAACAACAACAACACTCACTAAGACCACAATGACAACACCAATAACAACAGCAACCATCACTAAGACCACAATGACAACACCAATAACAACAGCAACACTCACTAAGACCACAACGACAACACCAATAACAACAACAAAACTCACTAAGAACACAATGACAACACCAATAACAACAGCAGCACTCACTAAGACCACAATGACAGCACCAATAACAACAGCAACACTCACTAAGACCACAATGACAACACCAATAACAACAGCAACCATCACTAAGACCACAATGACAACACCAATAACAACAACAACCATCACTAAGACCACAACGACAACACCAATAACAACAACAACATTCACTAAAACCACAACGACAACACCAATAACAACAACAACACTCACTAAGACCACAATGACAACACCAATAACAACAACCATCACTAAGACCACAATGACAACACCAATAACAACAGCAACACTCACTAAGACCACAGTGACAACACCAATAACAACAGCAGCACTCACTAAGACCACAATGACAACACCAATAACAGCAACACTCACTAAGACCACAACGACAACACCAATAACAACAGCAGCACTCACTAAGACCACAATGACAACACCAATAACAACAGCAACACTCACTAAGACCACAATGACAACACCAATAACAACAGCAACACTCACTAAGACCACAACGACAACACCAATAACAACAGCAACCATCACTAAGACCACAACGACAACACCAATAACAACAGCAGCACTCACTAAGACCACAATGACAACACCAATAACAACAGCAACCATCACTAAGACCACAATGACAACACCAATAACAACAGCAGCACTCACTAAGACCACTATGACAACACCAATAACAACAACAACAACAACACTCACTAAGACCACAATGACAACACCAATAACAACAGCAGCACTCACTAAGACCACAATGACAACACCAATAACAACAGCAACACTCACTAAGAACACAACGACAACACCAATAACAACAGCAGCATTCACTAAGACCACAATGACAACACCATTAACAACAACATTCACTAAGACCACAATGACAACACCAATAACAACAACATTCACTAAGACCACAATGACAACACCAATAACAACAGCAGCACTCACTAAGACCACAATGACAACACCAATAACAACAGCAACCATCACTTAGACCACAACGACAACACCAATAACAACAGCAACCATCACTAAGACCACAACGACAACACCAATAACAACAACAACACTCCCTAAGACCACAATGACAACACCAATAACAACAGCAACCATCACTAAGACCACAACGACAACACCAATAACAACAGCAACACTCACTAAGACCACAATGACAACACCAATAACAACAGCAGCACTCACTAAGACCACAATGACAACACCAATAACAACAGCAGCACTCACTAAGACCACAATGACAACACCAATAACAACAGCAACACTCACTAATACCACAATGACAACACCAATAACAACAGCAGCACTCACTAAGACCACAACAACAACACCAATAACAACAGCAACACTCACTAATACCACAACAACACCAATAACAACAGCAACACTCACTAAGACCACAGTGACAACACCAATAACAACAGCAGCACTCACTAAGACCACAATGACAACACCAATAACAACAGCAACAACACTCACTAAGACCACAACGACAACACCAATAACAACAGCAGCACTCACTAAGACCACAATGACAACACCAATAACAACAGCAACACTCACTAAGACCACAACAACAATAACAACAGCAACCATCACTAAGGCCACAACGACAACACCAATAACAACAGCAGCACTCACTAAGACCACAATTACAACACCAATAACAACAACAACAACACTCACTAAGACCACAATGACAACACCAATAACAACAGCAACCATCACTAAGACCACAATGACAACACCAATAACAACAGCAACACTCACTAAGACCACAACGACAACACCAATAACAACAACAAAACTCACTAAGAACACAATGACAACACCAATAACAACAGCAGCACTCACTAAGACCACAATGACAGCACCAATAACAACAGCAACACTCACTAAGACCACAATGACAACACCAATAACAACAGCAACCATCACTAAGACCACAATGACAACACCAATAACAACAACAACCATCACTAAGACCACAACGATAACACCAATAACAACAACAACATTCACTAAAACCACAACGACAACACCAATAACAACAACAACACTCACTAAGACCACAATGACAACACCAATAACAACAACCATCACTAAGACCACAATGACAACACCAATAACAACAGCAACACTCACTAAGACCACAGTGACAACACCAATAACAACAGCAGCACTCACTAAGACCACAATGACAACACCAATAACAGCAACACTCACTAAGACCACAACGACAACACCAATAACAACAGCAGCACTCACTAAGACCACAATGACAACACCAATAACAACAGCAACACTCACTAAGACCACAATGACAACACCAATAACAACAGCAACCATCACTAAGACCACAACGACAACACCAATAACAACAGCAACACTCAGTAAGACCACAATGACAACACCAATAACAACAGCAACACTCACTAAGACCACAACGACAACACCAATAACAACAGCAACACTCAGTAAGACCACAATGACAACACCAATAACAACAGCAACACTCACTAAGACCACAACGACAACACCAATAACAACAGCAACACTCACTAAGACCACAACGACAACACCAATAACAACAGCAGCACTCACTAAGACCACAATGACAACACCAATAACAACAGCAACCATCACTAAGACCACAATGACAACACCAATAACAACAACAACACTCACTAAGACCACAATGACAACACCAGTAACAACAGCAACCATCACTAAGACCACAATGACAACACCAATAACAACAACAACACTCACTAAGACCACAATGACAACACCAATAACAACAGCAACACTCACTAAGACCACAACGACAACACCAATAACAACAGCAACCATCACTAAGACCACAATGACAACACCAATAACAACAGCAACACTCACTAAGACCACAATGACAACACCAATAACAACAACAACCATCACTAAGACCACAATGACAACACCAATAACAACAACCATCACTAAGACCACAACGACAACACCAATAACAACAACAAGACTGACTAAGACCACAACAACAACACCAATAACAACAGCAACCATAACTAAGACCACAATGACAACACCAATAACAACAGCAACACTCACTAAGACCACAATGACAACACCAATAACAACAACACTCACTAAGACCACAATGACAACACCAATAACGGTGGTGACCACAACAGATATCCACAGCCGTCACAACGACAACATTACAACAACCACAACAAGATAAGGTTAGGGATGGATTTAAAGTGAGATAGGGTGAGGGATATGATGAGGGAGTCAGGGAAGGGTTAGCGGAGAGGGCTAGGGATGGAGTGAAAAACTGGACGAGAGTTAGAGTCTGAGATTGGCTTAGAGAGAAGAGTAGGGACAGTGGATAGGGAGAGGGGTAGGGGGTAGGGAGAGGGCTAGGGGGTAGGGAGAGGGCTAGGCCGCTAGGGGGTAGGGAGAGGGCTAGGGGGAAGGGAGAGGGATAGGGGGTAGTGAGAGGGGTAGGGAGATGGGTAAAGGTAGAGGTTAGGGAGAGGGCTAGGGGATAGGAAGAGGGGTAGGGAGAGGGCTAGGGAGAGGGGTAGGGGGTCGGGAGAGAGCTAGGGGGGTAGGGCTTGGGGGTAGGGCCCGGGGTCTCACCAGGTGGAGGGGTCCCGGTGGGGCGAGGGGCACGAGGAAGAGTCGAGCGGCGAATCGTGACACCTCCACCACCACCGCCGCCTCCGTCACGGAGACGGCGGTGGTGGTGGTGGCACAACGCCGACTTGCCAACGTGTGGGACAGCCTGCGGGCAAGGCGCCATCACCACCACCATCATCGTTGTCAGCATCACAATCAACAACATCGCCATCACCAACATCGAAAACATCACCATCATCACCATCATCACCACCTCCACCATCGTTATCAACGTTCCAAACAACAAAATCGGCATAACTTACATCACCCATCACCACCACCATCACCGCGATCATTATCGAGAACACAATCATCAACATGGCCAACACTAACATCACCAATATCATGATCAGCAATCTCCATTATTACAAATATCAACATTACAATCGTCACAAAAATCATCAGCATCACCATCATCGCCATCGCTAACCGCCCTCACGTCCATAACTCCACTCACCACGAGAGGAATTCCTGGAGCGCGGTGAAGTATGGAGCCCGGGAAATGAGACACACACAGATGGGGGAATACAAGGGTACCGCAGACCCCCCAGTCTCCCCAGCTTCCTTGAGACCCCCACTCTCCCCAGCTTCCTTGAGACCCCCACTCTCTCCTGCTTCCTTGAGACCCCCACTCTCTCCTGCTTCCTTGAGACCCCCACTCTCTCCAGCTTCCTTGAGACCCCCACTCTCCCCAACTTCCTTGAGACCCCCACGCTCCCCAGCTTCCTTGAGACCCCCACTCTCTCCTGCTTCCTTGAGACCCCCACTCTCTCCTGCTTCCTTGAGACCCCCACTCTCTCCAGCTTCCTTGAGACCCCCACTCTCCCCAACTTCCTTGAGACCCCCACTCTCTCCTGCTTCCTTGAGACCCCCACTCTCTCCAGCTTCCTTGAGACCCCCACTCTCTCCAGCTTCCTTGAGACCCCCACTCTCCCCAACTTCCTTGAGACCCCCACTCTCCCCAACTTCCTTGAGACCCCCACTCTCTCCAGCTTCCTTGAGACCCCCACTCTCCCCAACTTCCTTGAGACCCCCACTCTCCCCAACTTCCTTGAGACCCCCACTCTCTCCAGCTTCCTTGAGACCCCCACTCTCCCCAACCTCCTTGAGACCCCCACTCTCCCCAACTTCCTTGAGACCCCCACTCTCTCCTGCTTCCTTGAGACCCCCACTCTCTCCTGCTTCCTTGAGACCCCCACTCTCCCCAGCTTCCTTGAGACCCCCACTCTCCCCAGCTTCCTTGAGACCCCCACTCTCCCCAACTTCCTTGAGACCCCCACTCTCTCCTGCTTCCTTGAGACCCCCACTCTCCCCAGGTGTTTTGGGCCCCCCACTCTCTCCATTGACCATTCTTGTCCGTATCTCTTCCTGGAAGTCACACACATCACATACACACACACAGACACACACAGACACACACACAGACACACACACAGACACACACAGACACACACAGACACACACATACACACGCACTCTCCATTATCTGGGGAACAGAGAGTGAGTGAGTGGCTGGTGAGTGAGTGGCTGGTGAGTGGCTGGTGAGTGGCTGGAGAGTGGCTGGGGAGTGAGTGGCTGGTGAGTCAACGAGTGGCTGGAGAGTGAGTGGCTGGTGAGTGAGTGGCTGGTGAGTGGCTGGTGAGTGGCTGGTGAGTGAGTGGCTGGTGAGTGGCTGGTGAGTGAGTGGCTGGAGAGAGTGAGTGGCTGGTGAGTGAGTGGCTGGTGAGTGAGTGACTGGTGAGTGGCTGGTGAGTGAGTGGCTGGTGAGTGAGTGACTGGTGAGTGGCTGGTGAGTGAGTCGCTGGTGAGTGGCTGGTGAGTGAGTGGCTGGTGAGTGAGTGGCTGGAGAGAGTGAGTGGCTGGTGAGTGGCTGGTGAGTGAATGGCTGGTGAGTGAGTGACTGGTGAGTGGCTGGTGAGTGAGTGACTGGTGAGTGGCTGGTGAGTGAGTGGCTGGTGAGCGAGTGACTGGTGAGTGGCTGGTGAGTGAGTGGCTGGTGAGCGAGTGACTGGTGAGTGGCTGGTGAGTGAGTGGCTTACGTGCTGGGGCTGGCGCACGGCCCGGTAGTGAGTCAGCACCACACCATAGGCACGCTGACCCCTCATATCGGTGAGCGCCAGTGAGTGGAACCGGTCCGGGAGCGGCCCTGCCAGGACACGTAAACCATCTACACACACACACAGAGGGAGAACCTTGCTACACTACTACTACACAAAGATCCCACATATAGTCTTCAGCAGACTTGGGGAAAGAGCTGTTAGCGAGCACCTATGAAGGTGGGGAGGGGTGGCCGCTACCACGCCCGACCGCCTTTGCCTCCCCAGTGGCGATGTTTACACAGCGCTCCAGGTCCTGATTTGAGGCTAAGTCGCCCTAGGGGAGGCCCAAGACCAGTTCAGATAATCGTCACTGCTGTTGGCCGTGAGCAGGAAACGAACTCGGGTCGCCGGGACAGCTCGCTAACTGCTCCTCTACCACACACACACACACACAGATGCACTCCGATCTCTCACATCCCCTCTCACACACACTCTCTCATTAGCAACATCACCGTGGCGCTTGTGCCAGGCTAGGTGCACTATGAGGCCATCGTGCCCAGTGTGTAAGGCTCGCTGGCAGGAGGTCACACGGGACAGGTGATATGGCACACTGGCTGGGATGGCTGACAAGATGCACCACCCATGGTCTCTACGTTGCCACCTTGTGGTGATTTATCCGCGAGGGCGTAAACCGGCGGCTCTTCTTCACCTGGCAGGGTGCGAGACATGGCCAGATCTTTATTCAGAAGGGAAATCATCGAAACACACATTAAGCACGGGCACTTGCTTTGTTTCCTCATCCCGATGTATTAACACGGAGGCTTTTGCGACCAATATTATTATTATGAACCCTATGTATGTATTATCATCATAAAAGTTTTAACCATTACGAACCAAAGGGGTGCAAGGCTGCTGTAAAGGTTAAGAAGCACTGTCTCAGACACTCACATACTCTCTATCTCTCACACACACTCACAGCAACGAAAGCCTCTGTGAAAGCACAGCTTGTGAGATCGGCTTGTTCCGACGCTCTTGAGGCCCTCCACGTTTTCTGTGTGCAGCCCCCGGTGCATGTCACGCCCTCGACATACGCCGACACATAGCCCCACGCTCTGCAGCATCCCACGCGACCTGCCGCTCCGTGCTGGGTTCAGATTAGTGCACTGCACAGACGCTCTTTCGGACACGCTGCAACGGTGGAAGGCTCGAACGGCCTGTCCGGGGCAAATGGTGTTCCCGGACAGATGCATATGAATATGCAAAACATACGAATTGATGTTTTACCCTTCAGATGTTCAAACACAAAATTGATACCTGTTTGCAAGGAAGCACAGTCTGCATTAGCCACACGTGCTTGTGGTGAACATGCAAACAAACATGCTCTGTTCATGTATGATGCATTGTCTCTGGAACTGATTGGCCTAGACCAGAGACAGCCGTCTGTATGGCCTTGTCTCACCAGTGGCAGACCAGAGAACGCCAAAAGGCGTGTGGTCACTGTAGGCTTGATTCCTTGAAAAATATTTCTATTTTGACTTAAAGCTTTCGTGACTGTAGGAATACATACTACATGGGTCTTTCGGTAAAGGCACGTAGATAGAAAAATAATCATTATTTATTTTATATTATTTTTCTATCTACGTGGCTTTACCGAAAGACCCAAAGAATACGTTTCTATTTTGTATTTGAACATCTTAACACCTCCTGTTTTATTGCCAGAAAGGGCAACGCCGTTTCTTAATTTTCATACTTTGATACTGGCAAAAAGCTGCCATGGTCAAGCACCTACGAAGCGTGGCACAGCGTGGAAGGGGGGCGGGTGTGGTTAGATCCACGCCCGTCCGTCCGCCTTTCATCGCGGTCATATATCGGCTATTCCATGCAGCCCCTATCAACCCTCCCTCCCGTGTAACGTGGTGAGCCATCATCAACAATCGCCCATGCTCTGCGGTCCGCCAGATATTGTGGCGTTATCGGCAACTGGAGATAACAGATGAGTGCGAGGGGGAAACACTCGATGCCATACAGGTGGAACAGGTGGAGTCCCACCATTTTGCTGTTCTGCTTTCTGTAAAACCACGGTGACAGCTCCTCCTTGACGCCCACCCATGGGTAGGAAGGGATTTTGACAGCCCCATCTGTGCGTTGATCCACCAACCCTTACTGCTGCTGCTGCTGCTGCCTCCGTACACCACTGGATCACAGGCAGCCCCACGTGCATCAGCAGCAGCGGTGTCGCCACCACTACCGTGACCGGAGATCAGACGCGGGTCACCGGGTCCGTGGCGTGCGCTTAATTAACTATTTTTATTTTACCAGCTGAGGCCCACTGAGCTACGTAGCTCTTTTTCATAAGCGACCTGGCCACAATTGATAGCTCAACGAAGTAGCTTACCACGTGGGAATTTATAGCAGCCAAATACTCTAAATCACATGTAGATGTTAAATGTGGAGGGAAAAAACAGAGGACGCGGAGAATAATCCACACGACCACAGACAGCGAGAGAGACGCGCAAACGCCAAATATACCACCGGCATCGTCAGGGTCGGGATCGAACCCACGACCTGCTGCATACCAGGCGAGGTAGTCAACATCTCCTAGCCGCCGCGGCGCCCCAACCGCGAACGAAGTCCCGAAGCGTTACCGCGATGAGACGACGAGAGGCGGTGAGATTGCGTCGGTTACCCGGCGCTCCTCACCGGGAAAGCATAACTGTGGGAGGCCATCAAGCTCCAGCTCCCAGCTCCCGTCCGCGTGGTCCAACGTCGAGCTCCAGCCCAGCTCCACGCTCCCCTGCCGCCCCGGGACCTCCTCGCCGCTCGACGACGAGGTGGAGGAGGAGGAGGGGGTGGAGGAGGAGGAGGTGGCGGTGGGTGCGGCACCATCGCGCAGCTCCCCCGGACACGGAGGGGTCAGCACGTCGAGGATGAGTGGGGTCAGCTCGTCCTGGTGGTCCTGGGGGGGGGGGGGGAGGCATGGGGGTTCAGTGGCAGGTACACGGGGATTGACTGGGAAGGTGGGGGGATACCCCCCCCACCACCCCATCTCTTCCCACACTCCGAGAGTCAAAACCAAATCCAGCTCGACCGTGCGTTTTCACGGTTGCACCACGTGCAGCTGCTGTTGTTGGGCACGGTGTCCGACGTTTCGCTGCCACGTGCTCGGAGCTTCTTCAGGAAATGAATAAACATTTCCGAGAGCCCCGTACAACAACAGCAACAACCGCGACCATCACTAAAATGTGCACCGCTCCAACGAACACAATTGTTCTCTCTGCCACTACCACCACCACCTCCACCACCCGTGGCGCTGCAGTTTGGCTGGCATGGGGCATTGGAATGAAAGAAATTAAATAGCGCCCCCCCCCCCCCGTACAATCCTCCCCCCACCCCTCCCTCCCTCTTGTAGCCCGATGGCTGGGCCTCAGTGAACCGCCTGCACCCTCGATAGGATCATTAAAGGAATGCTCCGTCGCTCTCCGGGTGAGGCGGCGCGCCCTCACCTGCCCGGTGTGCTCGTGCAGGTGTCGACCGCTGGCGCCCAGCACCACGCACGCCTCCAGCAGCGCACACGGCAGACGCTCAGCCATGGCGAGGGTGGAGTTGTTGGGGGTGGGGGGAGGGTGCTGCAGGCACTACAGCGGTGACCAGCAGAGGCACTGGCAGAAGGCACAGGGAGAATTCGGCACCAGCAGCACCGCCAGCATCTGTCAGCATCTGTCAGCACTTCGGGGTAGCGCTCTTAGCAGACGAAGCGGAGCGTTCACGCAGAAAGCAGCAGCAGCAGCGGCGTCAGGAGCACCGGCAGGCAGGGGAGCACCGGCAGGCAGGGGAGCACCGGCAGGCAGGGGAGCACCGGCAGGCAGGGGAGCACCGGCAGGCAGGGGAGCACCGGCAGGCAGGGGAGCACCGGCAGGCAGGGGAGCACCGGCAGGCAGGGGAGCACCGGCAGGCAGGGGAGCACCGGCAGGCAGGGGAGCACCGGCAGGCAGGGGAGCACCGGCAGGCAGGGGAGCACCGGCAGGCAGGGGAGCACCGGCAGGCAGGGGAGCACCGGCAGGCAGGGGAGCACCGGCAGGAAACTAACCACCCGCACCAGCTGCTGCTCTGGTGCGTGGGGGGGGGGGGGGTGCGTGGGGGGGGGGGGCGTGGGGGGGGTGCGTGGGGGGTGCGTGGGGGGGGTGCGTGGGGGGATGCGTGGGGGGGGGGGAGGGGAGCAGGAGCGTGGGGGGGGGAGGAAGCAGGTGCGTGGGGGGGGGAGAGCAGGAGCGTGGTGGGGGGAGGAAGCAGGGGCGTGGGGGGCAGGTGCGTGGGGGGGAGGCGTGAGAGGGGAGGAAGCAGGGCGTGGTGTGGGGGAGAAACGTGGGGGGTGCGTGGGGGGGGTGGTGGGGGGGGTGGTGGGGGGAGGAAGCAGGGGTGTGGGCGCTGCGCTTCCCGTTTCCTCACGCCCAGAGGCGGAGGCTTCCTCTCGTCACTGCACGCGGACACGCAGCGATAGAGGCACAGAGACACACAGACACACGGTCACAGTCACACACAGACACACAGACACATGGCCACAGTTACACGCGGTCACGTAGACCCATGGCCATAGAAACACAGCCACCGAGACACACACGGTCATAGTCGCATACAGACACACGGTCACATACAGACACACAGCCACATAGTCACACAGAGACACACAACCACATAGCCACATAGACACACGGCCAGTCACACATAAACACACGGTCACAGACACATGGCCATAGACACACGGCCAGTCACACAGAGACATAGACACGGCCATAGTCACACACAGACACACGGCCACACAGACACACGGCCACATAGACACACACGGCCATAGTCATATTCACACTCTAACGCACACACACACACAGACCCCCCGTATAGCCTTAGCAGGCTATTGGGGCAAGTGCTGTTCGCGAGTACCTATAAAGGCCGGAACGGCACACGAGGGGCTGGGTGGCCAGCACCACGCCCGGCCGCCTTTGTTAGCCCAGTCTCGATTTGTAAACACCACAGCAGACACCGATATGTAAACACCACAGCAGACACCGATATGTAAACACCACAGCAGACACCGATTTGTAAACTCCACAGCAGACACCGATATGTAAACACCACAGCAGACACCGATTTGTAAACACCACAGCAGACACCGATATGTAAACACCACAGCAGACACCGATTTGTAAACACCACAGCAGACACCGTAACTCATTTAACACTCGGTCGACGTAGACGAGACCCAGGAACCGATTCAAACATTTGCCCCCAATGTTGGCCGTGAGCGTGAATCGAACCCGGGTCGCGAGGTTCATAGTGCAGTGCGCTAACCGCTAAGTTATCACTCCACGCACACACCACACTCAGCCTCTCTCTCACACACACGCACGCAGCAATAAAAGCATCTGTGAAAGTATAGATTGTGAGATTGACGACTTCCTTCACAGGCGAGAGAGAGGGAGATATCTGAAACTCTGCTGCCTCCACACATTTCCTGCACACACATACAAACGTATAAATATATACATTTCCGTAAAAGTTTTTTTTTGGGTTAGATCGCGTAAATGTGAATGTCGTTAAACCGACCGCCAACCGATTAGGAAGGTTTGTCAAGTAAACAGAACGTGCCCATTCGTTACTAGTACAGCATCTACGATCTGAGTACGACGTTTCACCAGTAATTACAGCTAGCATCATCAGGCGGAGAGCCAGAGATTTTTTATGTTTTTGAAAAGCACTCGGTCCCTGTGCTTTTCCCCAACAGCATCAGCAGCTCGCGAGGCATGGCGCTGCCTTCCTTCCGTCTTGGTTCACCATCAATTAAATGTTTTTCGCAAATTAAGGCCGAATGACAGACAGGTGGTAGGCAGCGATAGGGACCGGGTTTGTTTGCTATGGAGGCCTTCGTTTGCACCGTACGTAGCCAACCCTGCTCAACGGAGGTGCGGGGGAAGGACAACAAACGAGAGCTGAGGTTTTAAAGAAAAACATTCTCAATCGCGATGATGAACGTATCGCTCTACTGCACCGACTCATCAGTACAGTGTCGTGGGCGACGCTCACTGCCGCAAAGTCTGCCTCTGGGGGCAGCGCGTGCAGTCCCCGATTATAGACCGTGGGCCTCGTGATTGATCACGACGAGAAATCCCACCCTGACAGAATAACAGTGCGAGCTTGACACAACAACAACAACTCCACCACCACGGGCGACACGTGCGGAGAGCACTCGACCATTGGCAGTGGCTGAAGAAGAGAAAGCAGTGGACAGAAAAAACATTCTTAGACACAACAGCCGCTGGCATTCGCCACTGTGTGCCACTGACATCACCACAGCGCTTGTGCCAGGCTAGGTGCACTTTGAGGGCCAAGTGCAGCGTGTACGGCTCGCTGGCAGGTCACGGTACAGACCCAGGTGCTATGGGTTAACTCGCTGAGATCACAGGCAGGTGCACCACCTGTACTCCCCACTGCGCCAACTTGCTGTGCTTTATTGGCCCGGCGCTCCGCTCGTTGTTGTGAGCGTCGCACCTCCGCTCTCCGCTATTGCTGGAGGGCGACTGCCTCCAACTGCCCGGTAGCAGCAGCGGCGTCTCTTACGAGCCTCTTCCATAGAGGCCCATCTCAACAATCCACTCAGTTCCACGTCCTTCTGTACCATATCAACCCATCTCGTCTCTAGCCCGTGGCGCGCCCGTTTAGCCCCCTCTATCCGGTCAAACAAGCTGCTTTGGCATGCGGTGACTGGGCATGGGGGCTACATGACCCCGCCAACACGACCCCTCCTGTTGTAGGCTCTCACTGATAATAATATTTTGCACTTGGGAATGTGTCCAGATGTTTCAGGGATCTGTGAGCTCCTCACACAATCCAGTCTGTTTAAACCCAGGATGGATGACAGACAGAGAGAGGGCAGCCTGAATGTTTTAAGCCCACACAAAAGTTATTTTAAAATGGGTCAGTATTGTTTTTGCAAGCGTAGAGAAGAGAGGGTACAACTGTTGTGCGCAGCAGCTCCGGAGATTTGTAAGGAGCGACAGGATATGTACATCCCACGCAGCGTTCCCGCAGCCGATGGGAAGATGTCACTCGACCGTTTCGGAGTGAGATCTCTGCTGCCACGCTGAGCCGCTCATGAGCACCGCTGCCCATGTCAGGAACTCCTCCAATCACTCCACAACTTGCCCCATCACTCATGGGGAGTTGAGCTTGTGGTAATGTTTGAACATATAAAATACCCAGCCAGGTGCATTGGTTTGGTTGGGCTGATGGTAAGATCCCCACCTCTTAGTAGCACACCATTCCGCATACATCATACACACGCATACAACACGCATGCACACGCACAAAAATCAATATATTGAATATAGACAATCACACACACAACCTCAAAGATCCCGCCTATAGCCTGCAACAGACTGTCGGGGCAAGTGCTGTTATCGAGCACCTATGAAGGCCGGAACGGTACAAAATGGGGTGGGTGGTCAGCACCACGCCCGGCCGCCTTTGTCTCCCCAGTGGCGATGTTTACACACCGCACCAGATACTCATTTGAGGCTGAGCCGACCTAGGATAGGCCCAGGACCGGTTCAGATAATCGTCACCGGTGTTGGCCGTGAGCGGGAATTGAACCGGGTCGCCAGGTTCATAGCGCAGCGCGCTAACCGCAACACTATCGCTCCCCACACAGACTCCTCGTTATCACACTCTCGTTATCACTCCTCGTTATCACACCTCGTTATCACACTCTCGTTATCACTCCTCGTTATCACACTCTCGTTATCACTCCTCGTTATCACTCCTCGTTATCACACTCTCGTTATCACTCCTCGTTATCACACCTCGTTATCACACTCTCGTTATCACTCCTCGTTATCACACTCTCGTTATCACTCTCTCGTTATCACTCCTCGTTATCACACCGCTCCTCCTCGTTATCACTCCTCGTTATCACTCCTCGTTATCACACCGCTCCTCCTCGTTATCACACCTTGTTATCACTCCTCGTTATCACAACGCCTTCTCCTCGTTCCTCCTCCCCCCTCCCTCCGACGTGACTCTCCGTGGGGCTCTGCAAGTCAAAAAGATCACGTGGGGAATCTCAGATCTGAGATTCCCCGCGTGACGCCGGGGGCGCAGTGGCAGAGCCGCATCGACCGAAGCCATTCCAGAAAACTGCCTCCTCCTCCTCCTCCATCCACTCAAACTGCCTCCTCCTCATCCACTCGAACTGCCTCCTCCTCCACCTCCATCCACTCAAACTGCCTCCTCCTCATCCACTCGAACTGCCTCCTCCTCCACCTCCATCCACTCAAACTGCCTCCTCCTCCTCATCCACTCAAACTGCCTCCTCCTCCATCCACTAAAACTGCCTCCTCATCCACTCAAACTGCTTCCTCCTCATCCACTCAAACTGCCTCCTCCTCCTCATCCACTCAAACTGCCTCCTCCTCCTCATCCACTCAAACTGCCTCCTCCTCCACCTCCATCCACTCAAACTGCCTCCTCATCCACTCAAACTGCCTCCTCCATCCACTGAAACTGCTTCCTCATCCACTCAAACTGCCTCCTCCTCATCCACTCAAACTGCCTCCTCCTCCCCATCCACTCAAACTGCCTCCCCATCCACTCAAACTGCCTCCTCCTCCATCCACTCAAACTGCCTCCTCCTCATCCACTCAAACTGCCTCCTCCTCCACTCAAACTGCCTCCTCCTCATCCACTCAAACTGCCTCCTCCTCCCCATCCACTCAAACTGCCTCCTCATCCACTCAAACTGCCTCCTCCTCCATCCACTCAAACTGCTTCCTCCTCATCCACTCAAACTGCCTCCTCCTCCCCATCCACTCAAACTGCCTCCTCCTCATCCACTCAAACTGCCTCCTCCTCATCCACTCAAACTGCCTCATCCACTCAAACTGCCTCCTCCTCCCCATCCACTCAAACTGCCTCCTCCTCCATCCACTCAAACTGCCTCCTCCTCCTCATCCACTCAAACTGCCTAATCCACTCAAACTGCCTCTTCCTCCCTATCCACTCAAACTGCCTCTTCCTCCCTATCCACTCAAACTGCCTCCTCCTCATCCACTCAAACTGCCTCCCCATCCACTCAAACTGCCTCCCCATCCACTCAAACTGCCTCCTCCTCCCCATCCACTCAAACTGCCTCCCCCTCCCCATCCACTCAAACTGCCTCCTCCCCATCCACTCAAACTGCCTCTTCCTCCCCATCCACTCAAACTGCCTCCTCCTCCCCATCCACTCAAACTGCCTCCTTCCCATCCACTCAAACTGCCTCCTCCTCCCCATCCACTCAAACTGCCTCCTCCTCCCCATCCACTCAAACTGCCTCCTCCTCCCCATCCACTCAAACTGCCTCCTCCTCCTCCCCATCCACTCAAACTGCCTCCTCCTCCCCATCCACTCAAACTGCCTCCTCCCCATCCACTCAAACTGCCTCCTCCTCATCCACTCAAACTGCCTCCTCCTCATCCAATCAAACTGCCTCCTCCTCCCCATCCACTCAAACTGCCTCCTCCATCACTCAAAACCATTCCACAAACGATTCCACCGGGAATCTGACCGACCGTCAAATTTCTGAACCGGTAATCGATTCGGAAAACGGTTACCGGTTTACCGATGATTGAATAACAACCCCGATAATCATCACCAACCACACAGTTTCTGCTGCTGGCGATGATGATGCTACAGCTGCGTTGGTAGTGCAGCGTGAGCACAAACAACTAAAACTCAGCACACTCATCAACAAACAACAACCCTCTGTGTGGGCTGAAAAATAACGGTATATAATAGGCGACGTTTCGGGAAATGTCCCTTCTTCAGATCACGCGATTTACGCGCTTTAATTTCTAGGCAGTGTTATTGATGAATGCACAGTGTCTGAGTCTCCCAAATCAGCCATCGGTCATCGTGGGCCGTCGTGACAGCCGACGCGCTCGTCAGTAGGGGCCCGATGCGTCTTAGCGGCAGTTTGGTCCCAAAGTCATTCAGGGGGGATTTGGTCACTCGAGGGGATTATTGTGGAGTCCAGGGGGGGTTTAGCCGAGGGGATTCTAAATGGGACGCCTCCACCCCGCGTGAGGAAAGTGATTTCAGGAACCTGACACAAGTACAGTACAATTACCATGGTGGCGAACGTAACGGCGACGATGATGATGCCAGTACGGCCACTGACCTGTGTGTGTGGGGAGCGGTGGCGCAGTGGTTAGCGCGCTGCGCCACCAACCCGGCGAGCCTGGACTCGATTCCCGCTCGCGGCCAACATATCAGTGTCGACCGAGTAACACTCCGGACCGCTCCTAGGTCGACTCGGCCTTAAACGGGTGCCAACGTGCGGTGTGGTAAAAAAAAACTCCAGCCACCTCGTGCGCCGTGTCGGCCTTAATAGGTGCTCGCTAACACACCCCGTGTAGGGGGTGTTAGCAAGTTAGAGCGGCGGTAGTGTCGCGGTGAGCGCCACGCTGCGCTACGAACCCGGCGACCCGAGTTCGATTCCCGCTCGCGGCCACCGACAACCACCGGTGACGATTATCTGAACCGGTCCTGGGCCTCCCCTAGGTCGACTCGGCCTCAAATGAGTACCTGGTGCGGTGTGTAGTAAATATCGCCACTGGGGAGACAAAGGCGGTCGGGCGTGGTGCTGGCCACCCACACTCCCACGTGTGTCGTTCCGGCCTTCGTAGGTGCTACTCGCTAACAGCACTTGCCCCAACATTCTGCTAAGGCTGCGTGAGGCTCAGGAACCCAAACGCTAATTTCCCGTTACCTGCGATTGGCGAGCTGGTCACCCCTCGAGTGAGCCCGTCACGACGGGTGAGCCAGTGTGTGAGCCAGGCCCGGCAGTAGTGAGTCAGAGTGTGAGCCAGTATCAGTCGGTGTGAGTCAGTGTGTGAGCCAGTATCAGTCGGTGTGAGTCAGTGTGTGAGCCAGTATCAGCCGGTGTGAGCCAGTGTGTGAGCCAGTATCAGCCGGTGTGAGCCAGTGTGTGAGCCAGTATCAGTCGGTGTGAGTCAGTGTGTAAGCCTGTCACGACTAGTGAGCAAGTGTGTGAGCCAGTATCTGCCGGTGTGAGCCAGTGTGTGAGCCAGGCCCGGCAGTAGTGAGTCAGAGTGTGAGCCAGTATCAGCCGGTGTGAGCCAGTGTGTGAGCCAGTATCAGCCGGTGTGAGTCAGTGTGTGAGCCTGTCACGACTAGTGAGCCAGTGTGTGAGCCAGTATCAGTCGGTGTGAGCCAGTGTGTGAGCCAGGCCTGGCAGTAGTGAGTCAGAGTGTGAGCCAGTATCAGCCGGTGTGAGTCAGTGTGTAAGCCAGTCACGACTAGTGAGCCAGTGTGTGAGCCAGTATCAGTCGGTGTGAGCCAGTGTGTGAGCCAGTATCAGCCGGTGTGAGTCAGTGTGTGAGCCAGTATCAGCCGGTGTGAGCCAGTGTGTGAGCCAGTATCAGCCGGTGTGAGCCAGTGTGTGAGCCAGTATCAGTCGGTGTGAGTCAGTGTGTGAGCCTGTCACGACTAGTGAGCAAGTGTGTGAGCCAGTATCAGCCGGTGTGAGCCAGTGTGTGAGCCAGTATCAGCCGGTGTGAGCCAGTGTGTGAGCCAGTATCAGCCGGTGTGAGCCAGTGTGTGAGCCAGTATCAGCCGGTGTGAGCCAGTGTGTGAGCCAGTATCAGTCGGTGTGAGTCAGTGTGTGAGCCTGTCACGACTAGTGAGCAAGTGTGTGAGCCAGTATCAGCCGGTGTGAGCCAGTGTGTGAGCCAGGCCCGGCAGTAGTGAGTCAGTGTGTGAGCCAGTATCAGCCGGTGTGAGTCAGTGTGTGAGCCAGTATCAGCCGGTATGTGAGCCAGTATCAGTCGATGTGTGAGTGAGTGTGTGTGTGAGCCAGTCCCCTGCTCGTGTCGTATTCACTCAAAGAGTTGCGCAGTTGCCGTTCTACGGTTCCCGGCAGGAAACAGCGATGGGGGGGGTAGGGGAGGAGGGCTGTGGGGGGTTGTAGGGGGTGGGGGTAGTGGAGCGGTGGCGCAACGGTTAGCGCATTGCGCTTCGAACGCGGCGAGAGGACTTCCCGCACGTGACCAACGGCGAGGGGCGCCGCCGCGTTCGTCGCAGAGGTTCGCGGTTGGCATCCAGCGGCCGCGCTGCTTAACACTGCGCACATGAGAGTACTCGATGGGAACCCCGCTTATGGCAATCATCGCCACACCTCCACCACACCACCCTCTCTACTGCTCAAAACTTGGGAGGACCCTCCTGACGAAGAAGAGTTGTGGGTCATGTCTGAGCCGGTCTTGGGCCTCCCCTAGGTCGGCTCAGGCTTAAACGTCGGAAACGTAGGCGGCCTGGTATTGCGGCCTTAATAGGTGCTCGCGAACACCACTTGCCTGATACAGGCTATACGGGGGAGCTTTGTCTTCGGTGTCGTTGATGATGGCAGTGACGGCGATGGTGGTTGTGGTGGTAATGGTTGATGTTGGTAGTCGTGACCAAGGTGGTTGCAGTAGTGGTGATGGTGCTGGTGGTGATGGGAGGACAGTAGGGCAGGAGCGAGATGGAGCAGGGAAGGAGCATGAGGAACAGGGAGCAGGAGGGAGAGGGAGCAGGAGGGGGAGCGAGCAGGGAAGTGATCAGCTGGAGGGAGAGATCACAGCGATGGGCATCACAAGGGGGCGCGCGCGCTCCGCCCGGGGATCTCTTTCCCGAACCTCCACACAAAGATCCCCCGTATAGCCGACCAGGCAAGTGCTGTTAGCAAGCACCTATTAGGTACGACAGAAAGAGTCGGTGTGGTCAGAACCTCGCCCGATCGCCTTCGTTCCTCGGCAGCTGATAATTTAGATACGCATGTAAGGCTGAGTCGACTTAGGTGAGGCCCAGGACCAGGTTAGCGTGTGTGTGTGTATACACTATCGTGTGTGTGTGTATACTATCGTGTGTGTACACTATCGTGTGTGTGTACACACTATCGTGTGTGTGTGTATACTATCGTGTGTGTACACACACACGATAGTGTACACACACTATCGTATGTGTGTATACACTATCGTATGTGTGTATACACTATCGTGTGTGCACGTTAGGGGGAGCCTGGCAACCCGGGCTCAATTCCCGCTCACGGCCAACACCGATGACAAATATCTAAACCGGTCCTGGGCCTCCCCTAGGTCGACTCAGCCTCAAATGAGTACCTGGTGCGGTGTATAAACATCGTCACTATGGAGACAAAGGCGGCTGGGCGTGTTGTTGGCCACCCACCCCCTCGTGTGCCGTGCCGGCCTTCAGAGGTGCTGCTCGCTAACAGCACTTGCCCCAGGTGGTGCGTCTGCCTGCCAGTCGTTTAAGTCAACACAACCACTTGGGCCTCAAAAACGCAGCACGTCTGGGCCACTTGCGCCGTGGTGAAATCACCGCCACCTAGCGGCGAGCGGCGGCTGCTCGTGTCCTGGGCTTCCCCTCGGTCGACTGCATTAAAGGAGTCCCTGGCGCGGTGTGTCTACATCACCACTTGGGAGACAAAGGCGGCCAGGCGTGGTCCTGGTCCCAGCCACCCACTCGCGTCCTGCTGGCCTTGATAGGCGCTCGCTAACACTTGTCCCAACTGTGCCTCTCTCCACTGCGTGCCCGCTCTCCGTGGTCCTGACAGTGATTGGCAACCATCACATCAATCGACCAATACGTAACCAAAGCAATCAATACTTCAATCAACCACTCAATCTGCCATTCAACCAAGCAAACTTAACAGGTGGGTCACCAACACACAGAGTCCACCAGGGTGAGGAGGTCGAGCACAGGGTGGTAGACTGCACTTCGCGGGCGATCACAGAAAAAAAAAACACAAACCAGGCATTACAAAGGGTCCGAGCAATTTATTATCTGTTCATCCAGGTTAAGCGACGTGGGGTAGTTCGTGGTCACTGCCACATTCGCCGAAGAAACATCGAGGCACCATGCCTCGCCTTACACTATGACACACACATACACCTAGTCCCTACGCAAAACCCGTCACGTACACACACACACCAGCAATACTCTCACTGTTCCCTTTCCCCAGGCAGTGTGAAACGAGCACCCAGAGACTTGGGTCCGTCATGGTCTGGTCAGGGTCGCACACAAGCGGTGCCAAGCAGTGGCACGCTCATTGGCAACCCTCCAACACCCCCCCCACCCCCTTCGCTCGCTGTATGCTAGTGGCCAACTTCTCCACGCTCAGAGTGTGCAGCACACGCTAAGCCCTTCCAGGGCGACAGCAGCAGCAGCATGAGCGGTAGATGTGTACCACACAGCAGCAGTACTTTCAGCAGGGGGTGCACACTCGACGCAGCAGCAGCACGAGCAGCAGTCTGAAGCTCAACTTGGTCGGGCTGAGCAGATGCCCCTCCCCCGTCTCACTGCCCGGCTCCACTGGGCCGTCTCTTGCACCACGCGTCTCCCAGCAGTTCGGGGCTGAAGTCCTCACCCAGACTCGGCCGGGCTCTTGTTGTGGTGCCGTTGCTGCATACACTTGGCGTGCGATGCTGGAGAGAAGGCCCCTTCCTAGGCTGCCTCTCACGAGCCCGCTTTAAATATTTATCTACACAATAGGTGCCACACCTGGAGCGGCTCAAGAACGTGCTGGGCCGCCTAAATTAGTCGCCACCTGCTGTGAATTTGCACGCCCCTCCCAAATGAACTCACCGACACAAGACATCCATTTCACGCGTCACGTCAACCAATCTAGCAATTAACCAGCCGACCGACCAATCATCCTACCAATAAATCAATCAATGAACAAAGCAATACATAACCAAATAAATTAATCAACCAATACATATTCCAATCAAACAATTAGCCAATCAAAATCGACCAATCTAGAAATCAACCAATCCAGCAATCAATTAAACAATCGATCAACCAAGCAACCAATCAATAATCGTACCAACCATTCAACCAATCAAGTGTATAAATAAGTACATTTGGTATTGGCGCTGACATTTTGCATGGCTCATGGCAATCGTCACGAAGGACGCCGCTACTGCTGCTGCTGTGTCTCACGGACGGGTTACAGACTGCGGTAGTCTCGCAGTAGGAGGCGATGTTGCACTTTGGTTCTGACAAACTAGACTAAATATTGCGGCCGGCAACAAACATCACCATCGCAGTGTGGAATTGATTCGAGTGAACGCGTTGCTTGAATGAGACGCTTCGGTGGCTAGGAGATGTTAACTACCTCGCCTGGTATACAGGAGGTCGTGGGATCGATCTCGACCCTGACGCCTGCTGCTGTATATTTGTAGTTTGCGTGTCTCTCTCCCCGTCGTCGCGTCGATTTTTCTCGGGGTCCTCCGGTTTTCCCCTCCATGTGTCACGCCGGCCTTCATAGGATGTTTTGTAACAGTACTTGTCCCACGTCTGTAGAGGCTATGACGGATACCTTTGTGTTTGTGTGTCTGTGTTTGTGCTGACCACACTCAAATTACAAACCAGGTGTCCGGTTCCCGGCACCGGCTAACATCAGTGGACGAGTGATTATATACGACCCGGTACTGGGCCACCCCTAGGTCTACTTGGCCTTAAATGAGTACTGGATGTAGCATGTGATTATCAGCACTGGGTAGACAAAGGCAGCCGGCCAGGGTGCTGACAGCACCACCCCTTAGGATCCAATGCCTGCTTTAAAAGGTGCTCGCTAACGACCAGTCGGTTAAAAGTCTTAACGGGGGTCTTTGTATTTGAATGCGAAGAGCGGTGGCCCAGTGGTTAGCGCGCTACGCTACGAACCCGGCGACCCGAGTTCGATCCCCACCACCTCTCTCAGATATGCGCTCCAACCACTGCGCCACCGCCATACTCGCAGACAAAGATCCCCCGTGTAGCCTTAAAAGACCGTTGGGACAAGTGCTGTTAGCAAACACCTATGAAGGCCGGCACGGCACACGAGGGGGTGGGTTGCCAGCACCACGCTCGACCGCCTTTGTCTCCCTAGTGGCGATGTTTACTACACCGCACCAAGTAGTCATTTGAGGCTGAAGCCCAGGGCCGATTCAAATAATCGTCACTGGTGTTGGCCGTGAGCGGGAATCAAACTCAGTTCGTAGCGCTGCGCGCTAACAGTCACACGACCGCTCCCCACACACACAAACAGAAACAAACACCCACGCGCTAACACAGTTCATGTTCGCGTATTGACACAGGTGACAGGTGAGACGCGGACAGGTACGCCTGGACACCTGTCGCTCCGCCCCCCAAGGGCGAGCGGGACAAACAGCGCTGCAGTGCCACTCGCGCCGTATCGAGGTACACCACGGCCACCCCTTGTGAACGCGGCCACGTGGGAGCCCAGATCGCATCAGCTGTGCACGCCGATTTCCCGTGACCCCGGTCACAGCCCCCCTCCCACCACCTTCGCCCTCCCTGCTGGCTGAGCCACTGCTCTCAGCCGCCTGATCCCAGCTCCCTGATTCCACTTCCCTCGATCCTTGCTCCAAAGTCCCCAATCGCTGCTCCCCGCATCCCTGCCGCCCCCTCTGCTGGCTGATCCCTGCTCCCCCGAACTCTGCTCCTCGATTGTTGAGGAGCAGCGTTGGTGTACGGTGCTATTTCAGGAATATTTTGATGTTTTTTTTTCCTGGATTTTCTGTTTGCACAGTCAAACGGTTGCACCCGATTCAAGAGCCGAGTGGCTCACAGGGCTATACCAAATACATGAACTATGAACTAACTAACTAACTATGTATATCGTTTATTGTTAAATTTGAATCACAGTTTCTATGATCACTATTACATTGCTTTTATAGCTTTATTTTGGTGATTTCGAAAACGTTTGGTTTAGCCATGTTTGTTTGTTGAAGTACAGAGTTTGCCTGATAACTTTAATCTAAATTGTCTTATGGTTGTTATTATTTGACTTGCATCTCACTGGGATTTTTGCACAAAGCATTGATATATGGTGTTTTTTCTTGAAGATTTTGCTGTTTTTTTCCCGGATTTTTCTGTTGTGCGTAGTCACTTTAAGATGTTCTTTGTTCATGTTTTTGTTTGTTGCTGTTGCACCCGAGTCAAGAGCCACATGGCTCACAGGGCTACAACTAATAAATGAAACTGAAATAAATGAAACTGAAAATCCGCTGCGTTATCGTCCCCGTGCGTCCCGCTGTCCCCCTGTAGCTGCTCCCCGTTCTCAGCTCAGTCCTCGGCTACAACCTCCCTGCTCCTTCCTCCTCATCCCAGCTCCCTGATTCCTGCTCCCAATTCCCCGATCCATGTTTCAAAATCCCAGGTAATTTCCCCTCCCCACTACCGCTCTTGCTCCCAGCTTTCTGCTCCCAACGTCCGGTTCCATGCTCCCTGATTCATGCTCCGTCATTATCCCCCCCATCCCTCCCCTCGCTCTCTCGGACTTCGCTCTCCTCCTCTGCCCTCCTCCACCCCTCCTTCACCCCCCATCCCCTGTTCACTCCCCCCTCCTCCTGTGTCTTCAGGTGAGCTGCGCGTCGATCGCGATCAGTGTACGAGACGTGAATGGAGCGACCCTGCTGACGTGACACCCGAACGTCGGAAATGGGCGAGAGTTTTGCGTTAAACCAATACAGATGGGGGAGGCTGTCGTCCGTGCATGTGAGGTTGTGGACTAAATCCAGGTGCCAGGTTGTGGATTAAACCATGTGCGAGGTTGTGGATTAAGCCATGTGCGAAGTTGTGGATTAAACCATGTGCGAGGTTGTGAATTAAACCATGTGCCAGGTTGTAAATTTAAAACATGTGCGAGGTTGTGGATTAAACCATGTGCCAGGTTGTGGATTAAACCATGTGCGAGGTTGTGGATTAAACCATGTGCGAGGTTGTGGATTAAACCATGTGCGAGGTTGTGGATTAAACCATGTTGGAACTTGTGAATTAAACCATGTGCGAGGTTGTGGATTAAACCATGTGCGAGGTTTTGGATTAAACCATGTGCGAGGCGAATAATTCGTTCGTCCTGGAACCCACACCAATCCTGAACCCACACCGATCGTGGACCCAGACGAACCTTGAACCCACACCAATCCTGGACCCACTCTCCACAGCCGGAGCGGGAGTCGCGATGTCCCCGTTCCACTCTAAGGCCCGCTAGTTCGCGGGGTCATGCGGGGTCCCATTTTGGTTAATGTTTACCCCTGCATGGGTCACGTGCTCGGGCAATCATTAACCCAGTCTGGGTCCCCTTTGCCGTGGTCAATATCAGGTGACATACCCTCTCCCTGTTGGCTGATGGGTAAAAGGGGGGGTACACACAGCTGGAGGTCGGGGGGGGCGAGGGGGGGGGGTACCCCGAATTGAAACAAGGCAGCTACCCAGCACGCTTTGGGCCGTTTCTTCGGATATCGGACGAGTCGCTTTCATCGGCTAGTGTGGGAGCCTTCGGTATTCAAGCTGGATTCCGAAGGATCGTAAATACCTTTGTGGTGTGCTCGAATCGCCCAATAAAATGTGGTCGCGAGCGTGGCACGTCGGGTGGTGGAGGGTTCTTAACGACACGAGTCTTGGCCACATCATCCCTGGACATAGCGGCTTAACCATCCAAAAAATAATCTACGTTTATTCAAATTAAATACTGTCTGCTGTGGCTTATGGGAACACGCATGGCAAGCGAGCCACCGATCGTAAATACACTGGGCCACGACGTGCCTTCAAGAAGGGCTATTCCCGAAACGTCGTATCTTCTATATTTTTGTTGATTTTGAAGGCCACACACTGTGTTATTATTTACGAATGTGTCGAGGGGTATTTTTATTTGTTGTTACTAAGAGAATAATTTTCTTGCTTTTCTCAAACTAATCAATCTCGGTCGCTGTTGATCATTATTAAAAGTGTATTTGAGTTCCTTGCTCCAATGAGCATTGAGGCATTGGTGATTATCTCCCGTTTACAAACTCTACAGGGCCAGTGGTGGAAACTACACGTTCGTATGGCGGGGAAAGTGTATCCATAGCACAACCACTGTTGATTTCCCTCTCGCGAAGCGGGATCTATGTATGGACGGCAGGGTGGGCTGGGCCCACCCACCCCACCCACCCCACCCTCGACCAGGGCTTGGACTCACGACCTCCTGAAAGCTTCTACTCGGTTAGCCACCCAGCCGGACTCACCTTTGAACAAACACAAATAAACTTAAACCAACAACAACAATACACGGGGTGGGGGGGGGGGGTGACGGGAGGGACAGAAAACAATAAATCGGGAAGAGGAAGGCGGAAAGGGAAGTTGGGATACCCCCAGCAGGGGACAAACATCACGAGGTGCGTCTCAGGAGCAGGACTCACACAAAGCGTTCGCCACAAATGAACGACAAGGCCACCACGCTGAGCTCATCCTGGCAGCAGTAGCGGCGGCTATTTGACTAGGCCATCGGATGCGCTTCTGCGGCCGTCTGGAACGCTCTTCCCTTCCGATATTCGGAAGTCGCTGGAGCTATGCACTTTAATATCAACTCGACTGACAAACGCGTGTCCTGAGAACAGCTTTTTTGTGTTTAGTTTGTTGTCCTCCCGCACCTTCGATTAGCACGGTTGGCTACGTACGGTGCGAAAGAAGTTGAACGTAACGTACATAGAACGCGAGGAAGGGGGAGCGGGGAACGGAATCTGTTGAAATGACGACCAAGTCGCGCGCAGCCGAAACACAGCGGGGGCCGCTAAACCCCGCGCGATTTCGCTATCGCGAGACAACATTCTGGTTGCGGTGATTGGAGGCTGTCTCGTCATCGACACATCGGATCGTGTTATCGGCGTGAGCCGAGACAATAGCATGGGAGTTGGTAAGAGGTATATAGATATGGTCACCCAGAGGCACGGCTTTGCAGCAGTGAGCTGTCACGGTGATGACAACGCCGGGCCGACGAGCTCGGCCGATGACTAACCCAGGCCCCCAGTGCGTCTGTGCGTCTCACTGCCTGCTGCCTTGCCAGGGAGCTCCGTGGCATCTGCTCAACTCTTTAGTTGGTGGCCTCAGACGAAAATCACCGGCGGTACAGTTCTCCAGGAACTACCGGCGGTTTTTATTTGTTTAGTTGCATCAATGCACAAGAGGCTGAGTCAGTGTTTTTCTTCTTCGTCTTCTTCTTCCTCGCTGATGGTGATGATAATGACCTTCCGCATGTTTCTGTGTGCGTTGAGTTGAATGAAACTCGTGACGGAAAGGGAGAACTTGGCAAACTTAAGCCGAGAAAAGGGTGACTCACTCCCAGCCCGACGGGTGACAGACGGGTGACGGGTGGGTGACAAGGGAGTGACAGACGGGTGACAGGCGGGTGACAAGCGGGTGACAGGCGGGTGACAAGCGGGTGACACGTGGGTGATGGGTGGGTGACAGGCGGGTGACACGTGGGTGACACGTGGGTGATGGGCGGGTGACAAGGGAGTGACAGGCGGGTGACACGTGGATGACGGCCAGGTGACAGGCGGGTGACACGTGGGTGACACGTGGGTGACAGGCGGGTGACACGTGGGTGACAAGGGAGTGACACGCGGGTGACACGTGAGTGACAGGCGGGTGACAAGGGAGTGACAGGCGGGTGACAGGCGGGTGACGGGCGGGTGACACGTGGGTGACACGTGGGTGACGGCCAGGTGACAAGGCGGGTGACACGTGGGTGACAGGCGGGTGACAAGGGAGTGACAGGCGGGTGACAGGCGGGTGACACGTGGGTGACGGGCGGGTGACACGTGGGTGACGGCCAGGTGACAAGGCGGGTGACAGACCCCCCCTCCCCCTCCATGAAGACGGGAAAGTTTATTCATAGGGCAAACGACCACTATTCACTTTCTCCCTACAACGTGGTACCCGTTTTATCGACCCCCCCCCCCCCCCCCCCCCCTCCATGAAGGACGATGCGCTCCCGTCATTTGTCACTGAAAGAGGTCAAGCCGTGATGCTTATTGGTGAACGTGTATATATTGATGAGCTTGCTTGCGCGCCCTAGGATGCAAGCTGTAATATTTAGGAAAAAATTGAGCAGAGTATAATTGTATCTTGTGTAAATTTAATGGCAGTGAATCTTGCACGAAAGTACGTCATCAAACACTGCACTGCATTGCAGTGTAGCACTGTATTAATGGCAGTGAATCTGGCACGAAACTACGTCATAAAACACCTCATTCATGCCACTGTAGCACTGTATATAACTGATCTTCAATTTGTTCAAATTCACTGCTCTGATACTTTATTCTCTTCTGCTTTCGGTCGCTGGGGTTGAAATAAATTGGAAATCGATTCAATATCTGGGAAATCACCGAGAAATGTCTATTTTGCCGTAATGTAGACGCATAAATTAGACTTACCTTTCGTCTCAAGTGCTGAAGAAATAAATAAAGACACCAAATCCACTTTGTTGCTGCGTATAATTATTTATTAGATTCACTTTCAATAAAGAAACGTCAAACTTAAAGCGAATTTGCGAAAAAATATATATTTCCGCTCGACCTTCTGCGTGAGTGTAAAAATCCACCTGCTCATGAATATTCATGACGGGGGGGGGGGGTGCGGCATGTGGAGTGACGTCACACGCGGGACACACAGACATTCTTGGCTAATTATAGTGGGAATGGGAAATCGGCAAGCGGGTTTGCCGGTTATTCGTGCCGTGATTGGCAACTATCAAAATCTGGATTTATCCTGGAGGAATCCGAAGAGCTATGAAGCTCCATTTTTATTAGGTTGGTGACACGGCCTCGCGGCAGCACGTTCGCCACTTGTTGCCAAAGGTTCACGTTTTGAAACTCAGCGGGCCCCCCCTTAATAAACACTGCGGTGTGGTAATTGACCCTGCAAATACTGCAACACGCCGCCTGCTTCACTCGCGGTGGATGTTGAAATACTCCGTGACGCCATACGCAAGAGGAGGCCATCGTGTGGCGGAGTCATGGTCCAAATGGAGTCAATTTTTTTTTAATATAATGACACCACAACATTACTCAATTGGAATCTACGTAACAAATTTCTTCATGGGTACGGCGACTGATGTAGATGCAGAGCAACGACTACACGTTCACATTCAGGTGGTCAAGCCGGTTAAACGAGTCGGGCGCAGCGGAGTTGAACGTCTCATGGCTTTCGATTTAAAGCTTTCGTGACTGCAAGGATTCATCTTCTTTGGTTCTTTCGGTAAAGTCACGTAGAATGAGAATAAAATAATAAATTGATAAAATAAAATAACACAATAATATTCTCACGACGTTTCGGCCACAACACAAGCGGCCTTCATCAGGTGAAGGGGACGAGACTGTCTGGAGGACAGCGCTGGAGTGAGAAAGCCACGCTGAGATCACGACCTTTAAGCTGTGTGAGAAGAAACAAAGCCCCTTAGAGTCGCGGCATCTCTTCAGAAAGGTGAGAGACTCGATTAGTTGAGCCTTCTTATCCCGGAGTCTGCTTAAAGGTCGTGATCTCAGCGTGGCTTTCTCACTCCAGCGCTGTCCTCCAAACAGTCTCGTCCCCTTCACCTGATGAAGGCCGCTTATGTTGTGGCCAAAACGTCGTGAGAATATTATTGTGTTATTTTATTTTATCAATTTATTATTTTATTCTCATTCTACGTGACTTTACCGAAAGAACCAAAGAAGATGAATCCTTGCAGTCACGAAAGCTTTAAATCGAAATTTAACCGCCGCTATGGAGAGGGATTCCACACCACCTTAAGATCATTCAACAGACTCCGGGATAAGAAGGCTCAACTAATCGAGTCTCTCACCTTTCTGCAGAGATGCCGCGACTCTAAGGCGCTTTGTTTCTTCTCACACAGCTTAAAGGTCGTGATCTCAGCGTGGCTTTCTCACTCCAGCGCTGTCCTCCAGACAGTCTCGTCCCCTTCACCTGATGAAGGCCGCTTGTGTTGTGGCCGAAACGTCATGATAATATTATTGTGTTATTTTATTCTATCAATGTATTATTTTATTCTCATTCTACGTGACTTTACTGAAAGAACCAAAGAAGATGTCTCATGGCTGTGACGTCTCCTTTATATTTGTGGGCCGGGGCATTGCGTCGTTCTATGTTGTACGGTCTGTTATGGATTACCAGAGTCATGGCACACGACTACTGGAGAGTTTTTAATTTCCAATTTGCGCATCTGGTTTCCGCGTCTGCCATGGTTTGTGCGGTGGATGCGATTTAGGGTGGACCGTGAGCTTCGTGGAAGATCAAACTCAGGGATATTCTGCGTTGGGTTATTTCACGAGGTGTCAGTGAGTTATTTGGAACTCATTCAGCTC